AAATTCCTCAGGGATACAGGCAGGGTCTGAGGGAGGGAGAGAGATTCTGCTATAAGTTAAACACACAAGGGTAAAAATAAACCTGTGGAATATCTCGTTTCCTCTCCCAGATTGTTTTTTTTGTTGTCTGCTCTGATTTCAACTGCTCTGAGAGGATTTTCATCCTGTGAGGTTAGAAGGAGCTACTGGGGGCTGAGCATGGTAGAAAATAACGGGAAAACTCCCTGGATCAGGCAGCACAGCCCCTGAGTGGTGTCCCTGTAGATCTGGCACTGTTCAGCATTCCTGGCTGGAGTCTGGGAGGATCTCAGCACAGCCCCCCCCAGCACATCCCACTGCTTCCTCAAATCCTCGTTAACCAGGATCACTTTCCCAGGGACCCAAACTCAGCAGAATTGCTGCCAAAATCAAGCCTGAGGCTCAGCTTCCCATCCCCTACCTCACCCTCTCCAAGGAATTGGATGTGGATTTCCCCATCCAGCAGGGCAGAAATGCTGCTCTCCTAATTTTATATCTTAATCGCAGTAATTGCTTAAGAAATAATTAAACCCCACTGAAATAATGAGGTGGAGGGAGCTGGGGCAGCTGCAAGCTCCAGCCAAGGGATGCTCAAACCCCTCATCAATGATCTTCTTTAATTAAGCAATTAAAATTAACCAATTAAACCCAAACGGATGTGGTGTTACTCCTTTAATCAACTTTATACAAATATTGCAGGATATAAAAGAACCTTTTTAACCTCAAAGGCTCTCAAGAGATATATACAGGGCAAGGCTACATTGCACCTCCAAACCAAGGAGGATTAGGGGTTTCCTTGGAGATTGGTGTAGCCAAATAAATCCTTGGTCTGAACACATGTGTCTGAATCCCAGGAATCTGTGATTCCACCAACAACCTCATGGTCCTCTTTATTAAAAGGAAATTTCCACAGAGAATAAAGAAATACAGAAAATAAAGCTGAGATGTAAATCAGCAGTTCCCCCAGCCCTGCAGGTTTCAGCATCCAAAAGGAAATGAACAGAAAGAATATGGATTGGGATCATCATCAATGCCAAATCCCTAGTGTGGAATCCCACTCTGCTTCATTTTATTAGTCACCTCATTTTTTACTGGGCAAACTCATCCGTTTCACTTTAAATTCCCCAAGTTCTGAGGTGTGGCCACGTGGATTTTACTGCACCATGTCCACGGTGGAATTCAGCTGGAGCAACAGTTGTGAGGAAAACACAAAGGGGATGGTCCCCTGGGAATGTTCACAAGGAACCACATGGATCTAATCTACAGCCCAGTGGGAGATCTCTTCCCAACACCTCCAGGTGTGTCTGGATGTGTTCACCTGATGCTTCCATGCTGACACACAGATTTCCCTGCCAGTTGGGTCGGGAAGGATCCGTAAGGTGCAACAGAAAGGAGCCTCTTAGGACAGTCTTAGGATTCAGGGGAAAAAGGGAGTTTTCAGTCTTTAGCATCTCCCACTCCATCAGCATTGATAGCAAACATGGCTTCAGCCTCGGGGAGACACGGAGAGTCGTAGATTTTACAGATCCTGGTCTCACCTCGGCCTTTCCGCAGGTACAGCCTGACAGGGACGGGGAAGAAAACAGGTCAGGACGGACAGCCTGCTTCCATAAAATCCTCATAATCCTTAGAGAATCTTGTAAAGCTATAAGAACTTCCCAAAACATTCATTCCCCTGTGGACTGACTGCAGCACAGGCAGGTCCTGCCATGCGCAGACTACATAAACCACTTTGCCAATTCCATACAACCCTCCCAAATCAGGCTCCTGGGAGATGATCACCTCTTCCCTCACCTCGTGGTGGAAGCATGAGCGATGATATTCCCTCCAATGGGTTTTTTGGGATCTGCAGCAAACATGGCAGCTCCATCCACCTGCGCTACCACCTGGTTGGTGATGACGACAGCCACGCCGAACTGTGAGGGGGAAAACCACCAAAATCCAGTCATCTCCCA